CCCTCATATCATCAGCAATACGTTTGTGTTTGTGTGCATCGTGACATCAACATCAGCTTTTCTTCAGTTTTATGACAGCGGTCTGTTGATACACCGGTCAGGATCAGAACATCCGTTGATTGACATGAAGAGCAACACGCTACGTTAACACGCCATCAACATTATCACCGAGACTGACCACCCTATCCATTGAGTCATCTCTAAGGACCAGTATAGGATGCTGGGGACCTATTGTAAGCCGGCATCCCCACAGCAGGGTTAATGATAAGTGCTCTGTGTGAAACTCAGATATTGGTTGCGTGTAATTAGGGGAGTCATTAACAGTTTAACTTACGGACAAACAAACTTGCTAGTACTGCAAATTTGTCCGAGCATAGTATCCCCTTAACAGTTTCCGTAGTCATAGTGATAGACACAAGGCTGCTGAAATAAACATAATTCTCGGGCACATTATTTTTCAAAAGTGAGTTGGGATGTATAGGGCCTTTTATTTTATTGTTTCTATCCCACCAAGCCACCATCAAGCACAGCTGGGCACACCATTACCGCGGCCTTGATACAATGCCAGTTGTCAAGCATGGATAACAAAGTCTGTTTTAGATGACACAGGAAATTTGAAAAACGTTTCTCTTTATTGGCTGGAAAAAGACACGCGAATTGATTCGATGTTACGCGCCGATGCCGAGAACTATCCTTCAACCAAATGTATAGATTGTCATATTATCAACTGCACTGATGAAATAATAACATCCAATTTGCTGTGATAAACGTTCAATATACAACCCGAATCAAGTTGCCCTGGTGGTGTGATATGGATAGCCATGCCAGTAACAGGAATACGTGGTCACAACCACACCCAGATCGAATGATTGTACAGCGATGTACAATATAGTCTCACTATAATCATGCTTACGGATGAGCAGATCTCTCTCTCTCTCTCTCTCTCTCTCTCTCTCTCTCTCTCTCTCTCTCTCTCTCTCTCTCTCTCTCTCTTATGCTGCCACCTCACCCACCCCAACCCCATCCCTCTCTCATTTTCTCATCACTGACTGAAATAGTCTGGTCATTGTTTGCAATAAACCACATGCCTGTATGCCTGGGGTTATCTTCCCCGTATATACAAAGCTCTAGTTGTTGATATTAAATTCATCTGCCATAATTAAAAAAAGGATAGCAATTATTAACGTCATTTCTAAAACACGTCCCTTATATTCTCGCATTAGAAAACAATCTGTGTTTTGTCTTTGTACTTTTTTTTATTGTATAGAGACCGTTTCATTGGGGTCATTCTTAAAATAAATCATCATATATTGTTGATTTGCAGTGGTGAGTTGTTATTGAAGTTTACATTTTAAGAATATATACACACTGTATTTTAGAGAACGGAGTTTTCTGCAAATTGATGTCCACGTGAAATGTACCATAGTGTCAAACCTGCCACGTTCACACGTGATGTTTGTGTAATGAAATCACAATAATCAGTTCAAACGTGTAACTGTTTGTATACAATATTTTCGAAGGTAAACGATGTCAGATGCTGGCTGTGTATTGTGACGTGTTGACATTACAAATGAATAAATAACCGAGTGTGTGAGACGCAGCGTCATTAATGAATAATTAACCAGTTGACGCGACAGGCTGCTCTAATTGCCATCACGTGACCATGAATAGCGTCATTTGTCGGAATCCATCTGTCACCTGATTGTAACTCCCGGAGAGACACTGTTTATTGTATATGTTTTGTTTGACAACAGTCTTGTTTCTGTGTCACTGTATGAATTTGAAACAGAAAATAGAGCCAATTACATAACTGGTGTACATATTTGCGCGTTTATATATGTTATTATTTATTTTTTATATTTCAAAATGTGGTTGAATTAATAAGCTGTGTGTGCGAAATATACTGTCATATATCTACAAACTGGACACATAACTCTTAACAATGGGGGGGGGGTCAGTCGTCTAAGGCGCCGCGTCCCTTGGGCACGTTAGAAGCCTATGGTTGTGGGTTCGGATCCCGGTTCGCCCCAATTATGTTCGTAGGTTTGTCAGCACCATACCCGTGCTCGTGGGTTTCACCAAAGTGGTAAACGTCTGAGACCTGCATCACTTCAGGCTTTCCTCCCACATTTAGCTGACACGCCGCGATATAACTGGAAAACTGTTAAATGCGGCGTTAAACCCAACTCACTCACTCTTAACAATGGTACATAGATGGGTATAAATGGTTGAATATTGGTATATAGTGCTACTTTCAATATTTGACTGCTTAAATGATTTGGCGGCCACTTTTGAAAACAAAATATATAGATCTACATTTTACATAATTGCCATATAAGCATTTTTGCCAACTGGACATCAGACTTAACGATGATAATTGAATGTGTATTATGGGCAGAATAATGGCATGTAATGCTACTTTTAACATATATGTATGTATGTCTGCTTCATTTGGCGGCCATATTTGAAATCGGATCCGAAATATGATGTTTATAGACACTGTTGTATATGATTATATGATTTTATTTATACAAGCAAATAATATATCTGTATGAAATACTCACAACACATGCACCGCATTGCACTTCGACATGTATAAGCGTTTATATATGCTGTGTCATGCAAGTATAGAGAGGTGAATCTGTTGAGCGTGAAAAGTCATGCATGCATTTGGCTATATATCAGGGTTTCAGGTCAGTTTATTATAGGTCAGCGACTGAGTGTATTCAAAAATAACCAAAGTACACTCTAAATCTATGTGTTCTAATATAGAACACTGGACGCGTCCATACGTTCTGCCACAGAATACGAATGTTCTAATTCGTGCAGCACGTGTGCTATTGCTGAACGCCTGTGATCTGTTGTAGAACGCGTGTGTTCTCTCCTGGGAGAAGTCCATGCACATTAACAGAGATAATGTGCTGAATGCTGTTAGACAAATTTAAATTCGACCATCATATTTGTGTTTTCGGAATATTTATTTTTGAGAAGAAGAGAGGCTGGTAGATTGGTATGTCAAACAGAAAATGTGTATAAGAAGGGTTATATTTTGAGTTTGATGAATAATAAATAGTTTATAAACATGGCATACTTTGTGTTAATAATAACTCATATGTAGCCTGAATAAATACAAAAAGAAACATTACTGAAATACAACTCATTGCTAATACATGGAAATAACTTGCTTGCATTGGGGACATTTACGTGTATCAGAACACTGGCATTCTGATGGCTAATTTTAGCTGGATCTTTAATGGGTGCTCTGGAACAAATACGGTCTATTTGCTGAACGCCTGCGTTATCTCCTAGAACGCGTGTGTTCTGCTGTGTTCTATAATGTTATATGCGAGAACACGTGTTCCATTAATAGAACATCGGTGTTCTGTTTTTCTAACAAGCATTCAAAGCTGTCCATGCTCTGTGATTCACATCCGTTATGTGAGAAACTGGCGTGACGTCGCATGTATTTGGCGCTACAATTTCCTATGATCTGAGGTGTGTCTGTGGTAAGTATCCATCTAGGAATACTTTTGTTTCATATTTAATACGTACCTAAAATAATGTAATATTTCGGCGATATATTCATATGCTGATCCCAACGAAGTATAACCGGCCCCTTACAAAACGCATAGCAGACGACATATTACTCGCCATTTTGACCGTCATTTCTGCCATTGTTCCACACGCTTTATTTATAAATTATGAGATGAAATTCCAATCCAAATTGCAAGTGTCACTATTTGAACGTTTCCGTTTATTTGAATGATGTTCAAATAAAATGAATATATATTTCAGGTTCTATATGAATCGCCTGAAAGTGCGAAGCAGGCTACATGCAACAAATCTCTGAACATCTAAATTTGGGATCCGAGGGCATGATCAGCAAGCATCGACAATGCATCGAAATCAGCAGAGAGTAGTGTAAGTATGTAATGAACAAAAAGAACTAAACCTTCACAGGACATGTTTTTGGCTATTTTATGTGAAATATTTTAGAGAATCAGTCTTGTTGTTTCTATTTCAGGGTGCATTGCAGATAATCAGTACCATCCATGGAAACTATTGCACAGGGCACACGTCTACACAAAGGAGGAAAAGACACAAGGTTTTGCAGATCAAATAAGAAGGTACTTGTGTATATTTTGCTCTAACCTTTATCCAAGTAAGTGGTAACTTTGTTAGTCAAATGACATTTTTGGCAAAACATTTTGCAACCTATAAATAATGAAACAAATGTCACGGTAATCTTGGGTTTACTAACGAACATTTGTTAGAATCTCCTATGTAATATGTACGAGTTTGATAACTATATGACTATGATCAAATAAATGTTTTGTGTTGTAGGATGTTGGGGAGTCATATTTGACATGAAGTTTCCTGAAGCCTGCGATGGTCATGTCGCTGTTACGAACATCGTCCTTTGGGGATATTTACCCACAAGAAACATCTGCGAAGTACATGCGCTTCGTGAAAGACTTGAAACTTAAGTTATCTTAAGTATGGAAGTATGCTTCAATTTGCTACACGACAGTTTGTAATGTTTCATGAAGAACTCTGACTCATAAGTGACTTAAATATCCATGATCATCCCAAACAAATATAATAAAGAATTCATGGTTGCAGTTCAGAATTTCGTCCGTGTGATTTTATGCGAGAGAATATGCATGGGTGTATGGTTTAAATTCTTACACCTTGAAAAACATCGGGTAAATTGTATTCGACACACACGATGAGTTGTCGTTTCAGTAATGTGGAAGTACCTGTCCGAGAACGTGTAGTGTTCTGAATCTCGGTCCAGAACACTTAACAGGCGTTCTAAAAGCGTTACATCGTCAGAACACGAAGCGTTCTAAATATGTTTGTAGAACACTCCTGTTCTGGGTCGAGAACATCAACGTTCAGAATATTTTCAGAACACATGGACGCGTTCTAAAAGTGTTACATCCATGTGTTCTGTCTAGTGTTCAGAAGTGGAACACTTGGGTTTAGAGTGTATTATATACAAATTAAAAAATTCGGTCATGACCAAGCTAGAAAATTCACGTTGTGACAACGTTGTGGTAACGTTATGATACTACGTCCATACAACGTTATTCTGAGGACTCCCATTTATGTTGTCACAATGTTGTGACAACGTAGTGTGTAAGCTGGGGGTATGTCCTATTAAAAGCTTATAAAATCATGCTGAGGTCCCAAAGTCATTTGTCTCGAGCAAGATCACCGTATGAACGACCCAAACATCGCAACAAACAGGCCATACAATATATTTTGGGGGATCAATCATTTTATTTTATTTCAGACAAATTTTTTTTTTCAGTCAGAGCTTCAAGACATAGATCTACTACAATCTCTAGAGAGTGAGTGAGTGAGTATGGTTTAACGCCGCTTTTAGCAATATTCCAGCAATATCACGGCGAGGGACACCAGAAATGGGCTTCACACATTGTACCTATGTCGGGAATCGAACCCGGGTCTTCGGCGTGACGAACGAACGCTTTAACCACCAGGCTACCCGACCGCGCCACTACAATCTTTAAAAGGAGAAGCAAAACATTATTTTTCGGACTAAAACATATATTTCTCAGAGCATCAAGCATATATATCCGGAAAACGATTTAGTTTTGGGGGGTAAAACCTGATTATCATGTATGTTGACGACATTGGCATTTGTTTTGGGACCCATGGAAGTAGGGAACCTGTAGAAATCTTTAGAGAAATCGAGTGACCCCTAATAATAATAATAAATAATGCGCCAGATTCCATTCACCAAGTGGATGCTCATAGCGCTACACTATTATTACCCCGGTCAATGGATCAGTGAGCACTTGATTTTCATTCTCAGCTCCCTGGGGATCATACAACCCAAGCTGCCTGTGAGGCGCTAGATCTCATCCTACCGGGTACCCACTCACTGCTGGATGAACAGAGGCACATTTCGAACAAAGCCACTTCCCTAAGGAGTCATCAACACTCCTAGCTATGCAGATCAAGGTGTCTCCATATTAGAACTGGTAGAATCTACAAGTTATAACTTCAAAAGATCTTAAGAAATCTTTATCATATTTGTCACTGACTAGAGAATATGTAGATCTACTATCGATGTGAGTTAATTTAACACAAAAAGGGGTAACTAGTAATATTTTGAACAACCATTTATGAAAACAGTAGTGCCGCCTCCCATTTCAAATCAAACCCAGACGACCGATATTTCGCGCCTGCGAAATGTAAATTTGTTCGTTCTCGAAAATAGTTCTCGTTGCCATATCACCAGAGAGGTGCCAGGTACTTGATTATTGCGCGGCCCTTGTGAAATAGAAGTAATTGTTGTAGTCCCTGAACCGCTAGTCGTTAGCATTATATGTTATGATCAAAATCATTCGCGCAATTAAACGGTTTGAAAATGACATATTTTCACTGTTAGGGACAAAGTATGCGGACCTATTTCTTGTCTCGGCGAAATATCCGGAAATTCCCTCACCTTCATTCCAAAGGTCAGCTGAGTTTGTCTCAGCTTCGTACTTAGGTCAATTTCGTGTGATTTTCATCGATTGTTTTCGACCTGATGAATTTTGAGAGCTGTAGGAACCGAAGATGAAGTATTTGCTTTGCTAGATTTAGATCTTTTAATGGACGCATCATGGGAGAAACGGCTTTAATGCCGTTAAACTAGCACCCTAGCCATGGCTTTGATTTTGACAGTTGCAGAAGAGAAATTCTGTCAGACGACACAATCGTCGAAGATTCAGTTCGAGGTAAGTACATATTACAACGTGTTCTTAGCATCTGTCATACCCGTTAAATACGTGTATGTATAACTGAGCCAATTATTTTGTCATGATCATTATTTCCTTCGAAAAGTTCAGTTGCGCGTGTGAGGCCCGAAACTCATGACATGATCGCCACCCCTTCGGTTGGGAATATTTAGCAAATCGCATAGACTGTTTATAAGTATAAACGGTGGATTATCGAAATTTTATGTCATGTATGCGTGTTATCGTTCGATTCATAAAATTAATGGCATCTAGGAAGTAAGAAATTAGTATCAGCGCAGCATAGCTTGCATCAGTGACCTTCACCTCTCCTTTACGGAAGCTTCAGACAGTCGTCATACCTCGGCTTTGAGCCAGGAACTTGTGGTATGTCATGAATCCGACAAAAAGAATTTTGTGGAAAAGATCAGATACTAAATCCAATGAATATTCGCTGTGGTTAACTTACGAAATCTTAGTGCTTCTATTGCTATATATGTGGCCAGGCATTGTAAAAACAGTTGTAACATAGTAGCTTACAACTCATCACTGCTCTTGACTGAACTGCCTTGTCATTATTTGCAATAAATCACATGATCATGGATTACAAACGTATTTTGGTGTTTTATATTCAAACAATGTTCTCCACAAGGACCAGTTCAAGTAAATGCTATTGAATAGTATCAGAAGAATGTAAAAACCTGTGTTCTCTTTATGTAAATGAAGAAATGGGTGTGGCAAATGTTGCTAAGATGACAGATCAACAAACAAGATCACGCCCCAACACTACTTTTTCATTTCAAATGCTAATGTGACTTATTGTGAACACTTCACACTCACTATGAACATATGCAATACCACTTTGAGCACAATGTTGAGCTCAACATGTTATTCCAAAATTTATCTTGGATTTTTATAATTTCAACAATATTTAACTAACTCAGTAAGTGTCTGTCACTCTCGAAAATGAAAAAGATTCTTGGATTAATTCTTTGTTGTTGTTTTTGTAAAAGCCCATTATAATTATTAACCCAATTCAGACCATTGAACTTATATGCAACAGGCAGGGTTAGACACGACCACTAGTTGTTAGTCTTAGACTAGTGGAAATATAGAGAGACTAGTTGTTACTAGGGCTGCAATGAATACACTATGAGGCGAATATGATTTGTATCACGAATATAGGGTAACGAATCCGAATATAAATTCACGATTACAATTACAAGTCAGGAGTTGATGTATTATTTGTTATATTCTGTGAAACAATAACATAATAAATTATTTGAGATGGTTTGTTAATTATAAAGATATTAAACACTCATATACTGCACTTATCTAGGTACTGGTATCTGCTCAAATGAGACAATGACCAGTGACCACAATACTGTCAAATTAAATATTATAAGAGTGTTCTTTTTTAAGAAATCTATGCATATAATATGTTTTTATGGATATTTTTAGGTACAGGGTATGTAAATGCACATGATTGCATATTCATAAATATTCGATTCTGGTGGCCACGAATAACGAATTCAATTCATGAATGAATACGGTTTGATTCACCGAATACGCTAGTGAATCGTAACACCGAATGCGATAGTAAATCGTAACAGCCCTGGTTGTTACAACCCAAATCTAGATAATTTGAAAAAAACACTGGGCCAAAATGAGCTCCGAACAAGTATGGTATGTCTATCCCTGATAGATATGCAGTCACTGTAGAAATCATCATAGTTTATTCAGTAGCATTTTCCCCCAAATGTTTTCTGCTTCAAACATAGCTAATTTGTAGTGTACTTAAATGTGCTAACTCATCTTATAATGACAAAACATAATGATGCTTTGTATTTTTCGCTCAAATATTCTTGGAACAGTATTGTTACCAACAGTAAACATTACAAGTCCTACATTATTACATTATGTTTCCCTAACATTTTCCCAAGCAATCTACTGAAAGTATGAAATTACAGGCACGTTACATTTTTATATAAAGTCTTAAAGGGACAGAACGTCAATCAATCTGAAGCTTTGTTTGTAAACAATAGCCGATAACACCCAATTATACTCGGGTCTGCTCCCCTTATTCCATTTCTGCTCCCCTTATTCCATTTCTGCTCCAGTGACCACACCGTGGGCGTAGGCTTATCACATGACCAGACTTTTCTCTTGTTTGTAAACAGACCTAATTATACTGAAATAAAAACAGACAGGCCTAATGCAAGACTATCGGTGAGCCTTTCATCATGTTCATATTGTTGTACTATTATGATATTTTCTCAATGGAAGTTAAATATTTCATGAATCATGACATATATTTATCTAAATGTGAAGACTTGTCCACAAATAAACAGATGAAAACACCTGAATGGACTGTAAGATGTGACGATGTGACAGGGGTACTCAGATGGCAGCAAGGAAATCTGGGTATAGCTAACATGTACTAAGCTGTACAAAAAACACACAAGCTTTCTCTTCAATTTGGCTCTATTAAAAAAAAAGATTGAAGGCAGTTTTCTCTGCACAACACTTGCATTGTCGGCCTCACTGTGCGGAGCTCTATTGTTTTGGGTGTTTGAATTGAATTGGGCATGTTACATTCAGTGATAACCTAAGATTTTTATCATGTTTTTATTATGTTTATAATGTGGCCCATAGACCTTGAAAATTGTGGGCCTTTCCATGAATATTGAGGGCCATGCTGTGAATGTGAAGCGTTAGAATTGGCACTAGACCTGAGTCCTAGGGTGGAAAGAAAAGAAACTATGCAAATTACCTAGGTTTAATTCTTTCAACATCATGTTAAGTGCAGACAAAATAGACAGTGGGAACCCTGATGATAACAGACGAGCTGACTTCATTCGAAAAATAAACTGTATTGGTTATCGTGGATGTTTTCATCAAGAACAAATATTTTTAAGGTACTCATTTGCTGATCCACTGGGACTAACAGTCCCATGAATTAATGATCCAAGCCTAATTTTACCAGTTATTACCGGTAAACAGGTACACTGATATTACGTCATCGTGTCATGAACAATAATAACAGCATGATGCTGAGAACACTGATCGAAAACTGGGCATTGACATTTGTTCCTGAACATTCTCAGAATGAAACGAAACTTTATGAGAGCATTTCATTGGTCCATAGAAAGACAATTAATCAACCAGAAAAAAAGATTACAAACCAAACATATTTGCGACCTGGAAGTTATCTTAAAACTTGAAATAAGTTTTAAATGGAAAGTGATTGTGTAAAACAAGTTAGACATCACACATACATAACTCACCTATGGGCCAACAATATGTAGTTTTGATGTGTTAATTATTACAATAATCATGATAATGCGTCAATGCCACAGAAATGCATCCAAAATCGAACCCTCGACGTCATACTGAGAAATTATTTCATGCATGATTTAAAAACACACAGAATCTTTGACATACTGTCCCTTTAAGCCTGAAATCTGTTGAAAATGATATCAAAAGAGAATTTCAGGCCACTGGACTCAAAAGTGTTAGGCACAAATTATGGTCACCTCTTGTGTTGGTGTATTTGCCTACTATTTGGCATGTGAAAGAATTAACATTTGTCATAGATACAAATCCCTGTAAATCTGGTGTTACTGCATTTTTAACATTTTCCTAAGGCCTATGATATGATGATCATAAAGTTTTGCACACAATCCTCTTATAGTAAAACCATCTTTGCCCATGTCTGCTTACCCAAACTTGTCTCTTGACAACAGTTCAGGTATATTTTAGTGAAACTAAGGAACTTTTGTTCAGTAAGCCCACTAGATTCAAGACCAAAAGAAACGTGACTAGATACAGGCTTCAGAGTAGTTGCTTAAGTGGGGATGGAAATTAGCCAAAAGCGTCTACTAGCTTGGATAGTGATAATGTATAGCAACCCCATAATGTTTAAAATTAAACTATCCAGGAAGATACCTTTAACAAAACATGTCTGGGCTATCAGGGTAGTCTTGATATCCATTCCTGCAAACAGTTGTAAAGTCACAATTAAATTAGAAAATGGTGTCTCTATAATTGTTTCCAAAAGTCAAATTTGAAAGTTTAGTAAATTAAGAAAGTTTATCTGAAAAAGATTGCTATTACTTCATGATATTGGGGGTCATATCCTCATGTCATTCAGACAAGTAAGCTGATTTAGGAGTGTTCAAAATAAGGGGGTCTTCAACTCTTTGGGTCCTTGAGGTTTGCTCCTATAGTATCTGAATCAAACTAGATGCCTAAATCTTTAATTGTTAGCATAAGGGCAATGACAAAGACCCCATTGACTCTCATGCGTAATATTAAGAACTGAATAACCTAATGCCTATGTGTAAATGACTGTTATTCAGGTACAGTATATACATGGTACGTGTATAAAGGCAGAGTAGTAATTCACTGACTGCAAGTCTAGAAAAATGACCATTTACAGCCCAACTTTAGACAAGTGCTTTGTGTGAAATAGCTAGATAGGTAGTTTTCTTCCGTTTTATCATGTTTAACATTTGCATCTGCATATTTTGTTATGTTTCTCTTTTTTTCTAGTCTTTCAGCTTGAGCCGCTCTGGAGTAGCTTCCAAGAGTGATGAACAACAACTGAAGATGGATTGGCTTCTGGCACAACAGTATTAGAAACCTTTCTCCAAATGTTGACCCAGCAAGCTGGTACCTTTAACTTGGTCTTGATGAAACTTGGCATGGCATACTTGATGATAAGGGAAGGGGAGCCTAGTTGTTAGACAGGCTTCATGAAGTACCCTGAACACAGAATGTCCTTGGAGGCAGCGATGCCTTTATCGGACTCTGTATTGACCTGGTTAGGTCACCAGTTGGAACTCCGCAAAATTGATTCTGTCATTTACACCCGTTATGTCATCAGCCTGCTGCAGCAGGACATGGCAGACATTGATAGCACTGACCGAGATGAATTTTGGGATATAAAGAAAGATTCCAAGAAGGCTAAAGAAAGGAGGGATGTTAAGAAGAAGCCTGTCAGTGAGGAGGAAAGACGGAAGAATGCCGCTGTAGAATGTCTCTTGTCAGTGTCTGATGAGGTGAGTAGGGTATGTTTATGATAATTGATGCTTTTGCTTTTAAAAAGCTGGTGTGTTTTCTTACATGTTTCTTGTATTCTAAAGAAAATAATCACCATTACCCAATTAATTTGGAGTTGCTTGTATACGAATACACATGAGAAAATTAAAATTTCCAAATTGAAACAATACGTTTACCAAGAAATCTGTATGCAAAAGGAGTCTGACAGTGTGAAACTGACACACAACAAAGATATGTTTTACAATTCACAATTGTATTATAAAATTAACTAGGTTTACAAATCAATACAAATTACTGGTACTGTAAAGTAATAACAATGGCAGTACAAAATTCAGTGGCGGTACAGTCCTTATGATGATAACATATAGCAAAACCCTTAAATTATGGCAAATTTCTACTAGTCCTTATACCTTGGTATTGGGCAACTTGGCAAGGACTACAGAACCAGTGCCAATTTCTAACGCTGCAGTATAAGGTACAATAGCAGTGGTGATAGCAAAAAGTCAGTGATGATAATGTTCATGTAGCAGCAACAGTGGTCAAGCTTCCAAAATAGGCCTAGGGGGGATATTCAGGGTGAAAACTAAGATCTTCACACATCCACTGGTCTGATGTAATGTGAGATGAGAGAGGCACGCTCATGCCCCCTTACATCATCCAAGTCCCTTCTAGAAGGTTCTATACACTGTGTGGGTTAGTCTAGCTGTTCTAGAAGATTCCAGATTACACCTGACCCCAAAAGCATCTAATTCAATATAGTAACTTCCACACCACTGCTTACATTAGACAGTACTACATTCCTGAAAACAAGCCATGGTCAAGACACAATGCTATGAACTTCTACTGAATCTTGTTAATAAAGACAAATGTGACCCATGAAGATCCGGGTTAGAATAGGTCTTCAGCAAACCATGCTTACCATAAAAGGCGACTATGCTTGTCGTAAGAGGCAAATAACAGGATCTGTAGGTCAGGCTCGCTTACTTTGTTATTGATGCATGTCATCGTATCCCAATTGTGTGGATCGATGCTCATGATGTCTTACTGGATTGTCTGGTCCAGACTCGATTATATACAGACGACTGTCATATAGCTGGAATATTGCTGAGTGAAGCATTAAACAACAAACAAACAAACAGAGACAATGCAGTACAATTGTTTAACAATAAATTACACTGCCATATGACATTATTTACAGGCATCACATCACACATGTAAATGAATGCGTCTGCAGTGAATGTTGCACAAAAAAGTTGCCATGCCTTGCTTATTGTTAGTTAGATATGTATATTGCTGTTGTAAGTATGCAACATGTTACACACTTGGGGCAGCTCACGAAAAGATACACTTGTCAATTAAGAAGTCAACTGAAACAACATTATTTTAAAAATACCCAAATAGACTGGACCAGGGGGAGTATAAACATATTGAAACTCAAAGCAAACTATCAATACCCAATGTAAATAATTCTCAATTGCTCAAAAATATTATCTGGAGCCCTGTGACACTATGTTCACCATGTTCACCATGTTCAGTGACTTATTTGTTGATATTGTTACTTAAACATGTTTAACCTTTGCTGAACCATATTTTTGTGTGTTTCTTATTTTCCCATCACTGATCAGTGTGTTTTAAAGAAGTCAATTCTTCACGTTGTACATATCCTTGTAGTAGTAGGAAATAAATTGCTTCAGATCAGAAGGCAACATTAAAAATAATTTAATGTTCATTATGATGATTAAGATATGCAAAAAGTATTTGCTTCAGAGTTGCCATCTACCAGTAACCTGTTGGTAAAAGTCTACAAGGAAATGTCACCATGGTCACTCGTCCTTCCAGAATTTTATTTGTATCATATCTTTTGTTAATTTTACACATGTCTTGAACATGTTGAAAAACCATGTAATGAATATACGAAATTGTAGTGTATGAAAATGTGCTGCAAATGTTTATGCAGCCCAGACCTCTTACTCTTAACAGAAATCCCCTTGCCTTATCATATAATAGTGTTTGTCATATGGAAGTCATATTCTTTGTATTGATTAAGAACGTGATGAATTGAGCATGGACACGATGGTCCAACAGATTATCTTACTATAGGATAATTCTTGGTCTAATTTTAGTGTGGTTGGTGGACACAATATATTATTATTAATACTGTTATTTTGAGAGCCAGTTCTTGTTTTGGACATGTTTAAAGAAATATATTAGATTTTGCATTAACCCTTTATTCGGGTCAATTCTGTTTGTTTTTCAAAGTGAACAATGGTGAAAATTTTGATGCATTGTTCAAAACTTATTTCCAGGATAATGATATCGAAAGTTTGGTTGAAGAACTGTTCATCAGACTAAAGGAGACCAAGAGCAGTCAGGGTGAGTGTGAACTTTTGAGTCTTCTAGCCCTAATCTTGGCTCTCAACATCCTCTTCATTCAATTTCTTTGTTTAAGTCCTAAATATATGAACCTTGGTAAATCCCTGTCCTTTTTCAGGGGTAGACGCCATTGATGTAACAGTTACAAAACTAGACTTTGGGAGAAAACATCTAGTTCCTCTAGATTTTCACTAGTCTCGGACAAACAGACAAGTGTCTGTGTCGTATTCTGTACATTAATAACTAAACGTTTTTCAAAAAGTAACATGGCATGTCTGATATAGCATTATCATGATTTTTCTAGTTTTTGTAATATTCAGTTTTCAAAACTAATCGTGAAATCAAGGTTTCCTTGTCATGTCAGTGATGTTAGATTTTAGTCTTAGGCAGAGGTGGGACGATAAATCGATCCCCGAATACATCAATCTTTTTTAATTTCCGATTCTTGAATCGATTCAAAATCCTTACATAACCATTCGGTAAAACGATTCATGCTCATCTAGTTTAATTTCTATGTTCATGATATTAGTATTTTACTATTACCAAATACAGTGCACCGCCATCTTTATTAGAGTTTCGTGAAACTCCTGCCCTTTCCCACATGGCTGCCGAGCAAACAAACGTGCGGCCACCCGGCAACCTGAAAAGTCCCATTTGGGCTTATTTCACCAGATCAGTAGACAAAAAGGAAGTGAAATGCACCTTACGCGAAGTGATGTAACCGTATCATGGTAACACGACAAACTTAATCAATCAAATGAAACGAAGACACAAAAATAGTTAATTTTGAAATCAAGTCACAAAATGACATTAAAATGTCGGGAGAATCGAATGTAAAGAAACCCAAATGCCGTACGAGTGATGTCAAAGAATTACCTGCAATGTTCAGCAATCAAACCAAGTTCAAGAGGGAAGAGGGATTACGTGACAGGGAAATAACTAGTGCACTTGCCGTTTATGTGGCCAAAGACCTTTAGCCTTTTTCCGTTTTTACATTCAATATGATTCTGTTTGACAAAAGATGCACCATTCTTTTAATTTAAATTTATAAATACTCCAATGTTTGAAAAAACTTATTATGATACAAGTGATACCAACTGAAGTAGTCAAATCATGAATCAATCGAATCGAATTGAATCGGACATGTAAAATCGATAATCGAATTGAATCACATTTTATGTGAATCGGCCCACCTCTAGTCTGAGGGGGTGGTTGGGATGGGCAAATGGGTGTCCCTGGATTCAAATACTTTTTAGAAGACCTTTATAAACCCATGGTGATTATTTTATCCTGATTGGTTGATTTCATTTCATTATCGTTTGTTTGTCTTTACAGGTTATTTTACTCCCCTTGCTATAAATACTAAAGACGAGTCAAAGTTTCAAGTCAAAGAGTTCCAAGACCCTGCTGAAAGGTAATTGTTATATATTTAATTTATCCTGCACTAGTCCTGAATGCTTTTACTGCTTATCTTTTGACAGAAACGAAGCTGTGCAAGGTCTAGGCTGAAGAAAAAGTTGCTCTAACCAATTGTGAAGCCGGACCTACACAGCTGTCACGTGATCAAACAGGAGTGATGACATCACGGAACCTTCATATTACTGCTTGTCACAGGACAAACATTGTGTGTTTATTATTATCCCCTGCCCCAACGAAGTTGGCGGGGGATATAGAAATGGGTTCCCCGTGTGTGTGCGCGTGTGTGCGTCCCGATATCGTTTCCGGAGCATAACTCAGAAACCGTTAAATATTTCTCTACGAAACTTTGCATGTCTATCAGACTCATGCTGAACTGGTGCCTTTTGCTATTTAGGAATTTTATAAATTTATATTTTTTACGTTTCCATGGCAACAAGTTGGACTTACGTTCTATAAGGGTGGTGTTCGTTTCCGGAGCGTAACTCAAAACCCATTCAATACTTTCCAACAAAAACTGTGCATGTTTACCAGACACATACTGGACTGGTGCCTCTTGCTATTTAGGAATTTGAGAAATTTTTATTTTTCACGTTTCCATGGCAATAAGTTGGACTTAGGTTTTACAGGGGTGGTGTTCGTTTCCAGGGTGGTGTTCGTTTCCAGAGTGTAACTCAAAAACCGTTAAATCCTTTCTTACAAAACTTTGCATGTCTACTAGGCACATACTGAACTGGTGCCTTTTGCTATTTAGGAATTTTATAAATTTTTATTCTTTACGTTTCCATTGCAACAAGTTGGACTTAGGTTCTATAGAGTAGAGTTTCTTTCCGGAGCATAACTCAAAACCCATTCAATACTTTCCAACAAAAACTGTGCATGTTTACCAGACACATACTGGACTGGTGCCTCTTGCTATTTAGGAATTTGAGAAATTTTTATTTTTCACGTTTCCATGGCAATAAGTTGGACTTAGGTTTTACAGGGGTGGTGTTCATTTCCAGAGTGTAACTCAAAAACCGTTAAATACTTTCTTACAAAACTTTGCATGTCTACCAGGCACATACTGAACTGGTGCCTTTTGATATATAGCACTTTTAGAAATTTTTATTGTTTATGTTTCCATGACAACAAGTTGGATTTAAGTTTTAATATAGGATTGGTTTACTTAAGTAGTATAACAAATAAACTGTTAAATATTTCCTTGCCAAACATTGCATGTCTATATATAAAGCGCATACTGAACTAGTGCCATTTGATATTAAGGAGTTTTAGAAATGTTTATTTTAGAATTTCCATTGCAGCTATTTTGACATGGGCTAAGAGAAATGTTGGGTCAGTTACCTGGTTTGGGACCATAACGTGTTAAAATGGGCAGGGGATATAGATGACTTTGTCAACCATACGCTTGTTCAGAGTTTGAAATTTAATTTATTTCAAGTGTGCCATAGAGGCATGCAGGTAAGGAATTCACCGTGCCATTAGTTTCAGGTGTGCCCTCGGCGCGATGGCACTAATAATTTCGAACCCTGTTATTGGATTAACTTTAGGCTTATGTCACCACTCATCACCACTCAGCCCTCTCCTTCGGGTTGGGCCCTATCCAGCGTCCCGAGGACTCAACATTCAGCCCTAGAAATTGGCGCTAGTCCTATAGTCCTTGCCAAATTGGCCAATAGTTAAGGTATCGTAAGGACTTGTAAGGGTTTTGCTATGTGTTATCATTATAAGGACTAGTGAACTAAAAATGTTAGTTTATATCGCTGACATTCCTTTTCCGCCTCCCGGCACCGTTGTCCTCTCCTCTGGTGGTTCAAGGTATGCCTTCCCATGCGTCTTACGGCGCTTCTAGCAGACAGGCGCCCGCGTGGGCATCTACCAGGCGCTTCCGTGATGGCTGCATCCTAGAGGTAACCGTCTACCGCTGCGTTGACCACTCCACATGGCCAGTTGGCAACTGCACCTTCTGGTTTTCCACCAGCGCCCTCCTATGTACGTGCAGCCTACAGCGCCTTACATAGGTCCTGCGTAGATGCACAACTTCATGCAGGTCATGTGGCAAAAGTTGATGAGATACCTGTATCCAGCACCTGCGTCTGTGTACCAGCCTACTGCACCAGCGCCTCTGGCGACTTACATACCGTATATCGCTGTGTATAAGGCGAGTTTTTCGTACCTAAAATGAAGGGGCTAAGAAGGGGGGTCGTCTTATACACGGAGTCGAAGATCTCACATTTTTTTTCCACTGGCGATGTCAACCGGCGTCCGATAGCCAGCCCAGCATTTGACAATAAAACTTCGCATTTCGTCCTAAATAACTGTTCCAATAACTATTTCCATACATAAACATGATTTGTATCTCTTTTCCTTGAATAAAGTTTAATAATTTCTGCAAATAAAGTTGAAATGACCCTCTCCTCGATGCAGATTGTCAAACCAGCTGACACGGTAAAACAATCAACATCCGTGAGTAGAGAGCCGGAAGTACCGGTAATCATTTGCATATTGCACATGTGACCTAACATGTGATAACCGGTGAAGCTGAAATCAATTCCCGCTGTTTTTACAGTTGTATTTACAAGTGTTGGAGACAGTGTGTACAAGTGATTGTGGAATAAACACGCTGAATGTGAAGCAACCATAAGCCTAGTTAGTTAGAACATAGTTAATTGGCGATTAAATTACTCACCATTGTCTCTTATATGTTATTACTTCATAAATGAATTTTATTTTACGGGCACCAATTTTGGTGTCGTACCGTGTAAACACAAAATGGCGACGTGTGCCGGAGTTACACACGCGACCTATCATTGTAGAAAAAAAACAACGCAAGATAAACATATTTTTATTGCGTATATAAGGTTTGTGTGCGCACTTGTGATGTGTGCGAAATACGCATCAGTCGGAACGCGCACATTAAATCTCCAAAGTAACTAACTAACTAATTTGTGATGTCCGTGTGCGAAATACGCTACAGTCGGCAAGAGCACGTTTAATCTTCTACCGGTATATCAGTCAGACTTGTGATGTGTTTCATTCCAGGTCGCCTTATACACGGAGTATAAGATTTTGGGTTGATTTTTAAGGCGTGTACAGGGGGGTCGTCTTATACGTGGGGTCGCCTTATACACAGCGATATACGGTACTGCAAGCTCCTGCGAGTTATTCAGTACCTGTGTTCCCACCAGCGTCTGCTGTTCAGCAGACACCTCAGGTACTCTCCACACCTTCACCATCAGCAGCTACGCCTTTAAGAGATTCGCTCCAGAAGCCGCTCACTTGTTCGTGATGCACAGCACTACCACTCAGATTCATTGGAAGGTTCCATGGTCGAGGGATTTGACTTTTTTGCTGAATGGGACACGCATGTCAGTCTGGCCCAGATTTTACTGAGGTAGCACCATCACCCGGCGCCAGATACTATTTGGTCTCACCCTACATCTATACCTCCTCTTCCATGTTTTTGGAGGTCTGACACTGTCTTTGCTGCCATTATCTGAGAGACGTGGCACTAGAAGATGTCGAAGGCATTCGCAGTTTTGGCCCTCTGGTTGTGGCCCAGCAGGTTACCAATCCCCAACACCCCTAAAAATTCCTCCCATCCAGAGCCAGTTTTACCAAACCCAAACACACTCATTAGGGGGATTTTCAGGCTATAAGCCTTGTCTGGTAGTTCAGTTTCTAGACTTTAGCCCACGCTAATTTCTTTTACTGTTTTGTACCTGGATGTCCTCAAAATCTTGTTTTTCTTTCCATGGATAGGATTGAGCAAGTAGTACTGATCTCCATAGATGACACGCTATACGGTTTCTTAAACCTTGTGTTGTGAGAGTTTATCTAACTTGACTACATCGGAAGGTCTGCCCACCGCCATACTATCTGATACAGATATATTAAGGAGTAATGCAGGACAAGTTATGATTTTGGTAAAATCTAAATATTTTTACATTTGTTGACTTATCCTGCATTACTACGTCTAAGGGCCCAACCATCCCAGATCTTCCTCCTCACGGTATCCTCAGATGAAATTATGTGTGACAAGCTGTAATATGAAGATCCATGATGTCATCACCTCCGTTTGATCAAGTGGCAGCTATGTAGAGTTGGCTTAACAACTGGTTGGAACACCTTTTTCTTCAGCCTAGACCTTGCACCGCTGTGTTTCTGTCAACAGGTAGGTAGTAAATGCATTAAGAGTAATGCAGGATAAGTATACAAATGATGTAAAACTAAACTTATGTATGCATGTATTTGTACACTATGCTTGTGTGCAGTAATAAACATTTGACAGTTTGGTGTCTTTTCATAAGCCCTGCATTAAAACATGTCTGATTGCCTGTTATCAGTTAGTTGGTGAATGTTAGACTTAACCATGTTAACAGCTTAGAACTAAGTTATGAAGTTTATCACTGTTATTCATCTATTAATCATACTACTGAACATTGCTTTGTAGCTGAATTATTCTATTGATATAAAAAATAGTCAGACATTTTTTTTAAAATCTGACAAACTGTCTACTTGAAGTAATATATTTTGTTAACATTGACTTGAGGTTGAACAAGATTTATGTTTGTAGATCAGGAGGGCCTACAATTTTTATGTTGAAGATATCCCAAGTTGTAAAATGACAGCTGACAAATCTTTGAAAACAATACTCTGGCCACTGACCCTTAATCGTGTAGAATGATTAAACAGATGAACCATAATGGCTGCATACCTTGGACGCCCAAGAGAAACTGTCATTAGCTTTACATTTAACCTGTGTTTCATGATGAAACTGAATGAACTGTGAAATGGGTTGAGTTGCATGCCTTGATACACATATCAGCCACCTGTCGTCCATGATGGTGTTCAAATTTCACATTCCCCTAGTTTACGATCCTTGGTCTGACAGCATCATATTCATGCTTTTGAGTCTACAACTGGTCCTTTGAAGCTTCTCACATTAAGTAGGCATGTAGTGATATTATTAATTTATCCCCAGTGATGAAGTGGGAGGAGATATAGCAATGGCTGTTGTATAGTAATGGGTTGTGACTTTCTTATTGCAATTTATTTCAATAATGATTCGTATATTGCAATACATACCACAATATATTGCATTCTTCCATCTGTATTTTGTTATGAACCGAAATAAAAATGGACACATACCGGTACATCAGACTTCCCCTGCACACATAATATACAGGAAACAGGTCAAGAATAGTTAGGGTTTTTTGAATACAGGAATCAGTTGCTAATTTCTGAATATCTTAATTTTAATTTGGCTTGTCACTTATGTAAACTTTGCCAATAAGATGAAAATATATATGCAGTTTTTTTAAAAACGCAATTTACCAGTATTTTCCAAACAAATTGTGATAAGTATTCATTATTATTTCAAATTGTGGTATGCCAATAATACAACACATCTCTACTGCTGTCCATTCGTCATGTTTTGTTTCTGGAACTTAACTCAAAGACCGTTTAATATTTCTGGACCAGACTTTGCAATGATTTCAGGCTACGTAGAGAGTTGGTGCTTTTTGGTTTTTAGAATTTTTTCAAATTTGTATTTCTTCTGGTTTCTTGGAAAACAAAATTCGAATCAATGAAGGCTTCATTTCAAGAGCATAGCGTGGCATATTTTGTTCAATATAAAAAAAAGTGAAGAGGAATTTTAACATTGTATTCAATGCAATAATTTATTTTTTAAAAATGGGTGTGTCTGGGGACTTGTCTTTTTCTCAGTAGAATACCATTGGTTGGGGATATGAGTATTTCATGCTTGTTAATAGACTGTTCACAGCAGTGTAGCCAAAAGATCTCATAATATCATATCAATGTTTACAAAAGAAATAATTATTAATTGTACTCTTATTGAACAAACACATCCTTTGTTTTGTAGGTACTATGCAGCATTTCCAGCTCTTCCTGGTGATGGCACCCCACCACAACTATCCCCGTCATCTGATGACAACATTTGGCGGAAAAACAGGAAAAGTGGATCACTTGCTGGGGAAACATCTGAGAGTAAAGAAGGATCTCCCCTAAATGTTTCTCCTGAACATGCAGTTGATAAGACTTTCATACAAGAAGTCAAAACTGTAGAGAAATCTCCGGTGGATTCGAAGTCATACTCCAATTCACCAGCAGCACCTGAAAAACGGAAGCGTTCAGGAAGAGGAGATTCCAATCCCAAGATTTCTCCTAGTGCAGGAGGAAGGAAGAAAAACATGAAGGGGAAGAGGGAGATTGAGGCACAGAGCAAGGCAGTTCGTTTTCTAAGCTGGCCCCCACCCGGGCATGTGAAGAAAGAACATGGAAAAGCTGATACTGACAAACAAGCCAATCCTGAGGAAACAGAAGAGGAGAAATACTGCAGTATAGTGGAGCAAATGTTGAAAGAAATGCTATTATCAGGCAAGAAACATGTTCAGACTTCCACAGACCTGCCATTGTGGGCCTACTTTCCAGCACAAGGGTTCACTGAAGGATGCTTCACAGAATGGTTTAGAGAAGACAGTCAGAGTCCGGAGTTCACAGAAAATGATGATTGGTACACACAGCCCCTGGAGCATATTTTCTACACACCAGTGTCCCAGACAAAACGGCTTTACAAGAGACACAGCTATCCACCAATGCTGAATTTTGGTGATCCGTTGGAATGGAGCAGTATTGTCACTGAACAGTTTCTATCTTTGAAGAAAACTGCAACAGATTATATTTTATTGGAGGATGTTTTTGATCCAAATAAGGCAAGTCAGGAGGTTCTGAATGAAGAAGGTTTGGAGATTTTGTTGAATCACCCACAAGAGGCATTGCCTGTAGCGGCTGAGCAGCAATATGAAGATTTTGAGTTGAATGAAGAGAAGGAGAAGGCTGTCAATAGTGATGAAGTAGAGGATATGTCTGAAGAAAAAAGTGAAGTTGGAAAAGAAGCGTGTAAGGATCAAGAAGAAGAAACTGTTGAAGAATCTGATGAAATCGTAAAGGAAGCCGATGAAACCCCAGCTTGGTATAATGATGACCCTTCCCTTACTTCCCCAAATGTCTTATTTCCTTTTGACCAGTCTGAATTTGCAGATTTATCCTCCAATGTAGATGGGAAGTCCAAGGTTGACTTTAACACCAGTGCCTTGCCACTTACATTACCATGTCTTTTCCCCGGTACAGATCCTGACTGCCTTGCTCCAGCCAGTGATACCAGTAGCACTGTCTCCAGTGTGGAAAAAGGTTATTTCAGTGATGTTACAGAAACGTCCTTTGTGTTTGACATGAGCCGACATAGCAGTCCCTTCCCTGACATGCTGCTTCTGATGAACTATGGAGAAGATGATGACACGGGTCAGATGACCACAAGTACTGCTAGTAGTTTGAAAGGGAGTAGGTTGGAGAGTCTGTTTGAATCTTCCAGACAGGATCTTCAAGAGAGCATGGGGAAAAGCGAGGTTCAACAACTTGACTATTCAGAAGCAAAACCAGAATTTGATTTTTGTGCTGATGATCTGTTTCTTTATGGAGCCGAAGAGGAAGATTGTATATTGTATGGCACCAGAAATATGTTCCCAAATGGCGCCACATCCAATGGAAATCCTCAAGGATCACCATCAAACACGGAGGAGAAACAAGATTCTGAAACAGAAACAGAAGACAAATCGACATCAGTGTCTTCAAGTCAACTTGAGCCTCAGTCAAAATTTACTGATTCTACCTCTGAAGACGAGAGAGATGAAAGTGCCTGTTTTCCTTCTGATCTCTTTAACTCTTTCAGTTCTGTTGGAGAAAGTTCAGGTGGATCCGTTCTGTTGGCAGAACCGGGCTTGGTTGAACACAATTATGTACTGGATCTGCTTGATTCGGGAGAAGTTAGTCTGCAAAATGAGTGTTCCTCTTCGTATCTTGTTCATCTCTCTCCTCTATCTGGATCTGGTGGGTCATGCTGGCAAAGCAAGATATTACTACATGACTATGGAGATCCGTTTACGTTTGGGAGCTTAGAACAGTCATCTGAACTTGCTTGGGACTCAGTTTTAAGTCAAAAGAAGCATATTTGGTCATCAGCAATGAGTCGGAGTCCTGTAAATTTGTCAGTAACATCTCCAACTTTGAAAGGCGAGTTGTGGCAACTTTGGGATGTCAATAGTCAGAGGAAAATGCCAGATATGTGTCCCAGAAACACTGACACAAGTACTTGTATCTGGAACAGTATTCTTAGTCTTTCTGTCTATGCTCCAGACAAGACTGAAGAGGAGGAAGAATGGAATAACGATGATGAAGTCTTCCTGTCAGAAATCATCAATGAAGAAGATGCAGTGTTGGGTCTTCAGTTTCTTGAAGAGATCAATGGAATAGGAAAAGGTCCACGGTATGAAAGGAGCGTTTCAGAGAGTGACTTACGAAACATGGCTGACACCTCTTTCCTAGACTTGACAAAACCAAATCTGGACATAAGTTATGAATTGATTCCATCTGAAAATTCTGCTTTCCAGGGTGTTGTCCCAAAGCAATTGCATCATGTCCGAAGTGCTCCAAATCTCCGCTATAAGTCATTAGTGTCACTGGTTCGGGAAGATGATCTCCATCCCCCTGGTCTAGCTAGCATTGAATCTCCTGTTGAACATCTGTATTTCTCTGCTAAAACTCACTTTCGTCCTATCCAAACCCCTGTTGCAACTCCAGATGAAGATGTGGAGTTCCAGCCCAAGGATCTCTTTGGTGGAATGTCAGACAACAGCGGAACTCCCTATCAACAGTTTCTTAGTCCAGGAGAAGAAGAAGAAAGCAAATTTCGGCCCAAATTTAAAATACAAAAAGATTTGGACAAATATATTCAAACTGGGGGAAGTCTAGATGAATCAGATATTGACTATGAGAGATTTAGACAGCAACAGCTTGAACAAGCAAAAGACAGTCAAACTGAATTCATTGAAGAAATTGTTGTCGGTTCTATCTTAGAAGAAGAAAAAGTGGAACCAGACATCCCAGATCAAAGCTACCTAGTTGTTGCTGAGCCTGAGATTGCTGAAACAGGCAATGTCAAGAATACTCCACTTTCCAAAAGTGAAGGTCAAGCTGTGGAGGACGAATCTGTACTGCAGTTATGTACAAGTCTAAGAGACATGTGCAGTGAAAAGAAAGCAGATAACAGCAGGAAAATAACAGAACAAAGTCAAGGAGTAGACTCAAAAGGGTCAGATGATTCTAAATGGGATGGTCAGAAGATCAAGGAAATGCATTTGTCAGATGTGCAACACTATCATGACATCTGGAGCGCTGGTTATGAAATGGACCTGCATCCTTTCAGTGTTGATAATGAGACTTTGTACTTGCCATGTGCTGTTGATGAGACACTCTGCAGTTCAGAGGTCACAACAAATGAAGAAAACAAGTCAAAAGAGGAGTCTGACAAAACCGATGAACTCTACTTATATTACTTGGACAATTATCCGGAATATGATTCCTACATATTAAGTACATCTGAAGATTGTTCTGGGCCACAGGTAAGTGCGGGTATACTTTTTCCTTTGGAAAATTCATAACACTGATAGCTAGATGTTATATGGTTATGAGTAAATAGCTATCTGCGACTTAGCCCCTATTGTGTGAAACCAGAGTCTAGTAAAATTATTTTGGTCCATTAAGATCAGCTGATACTGGTACTAGTCCATATGCTAAGAGTAAAATGTACTAAAAAAATGCCTGGGCATAAGTTTGGCCCAGTGGACTTAAAAGGTTTGGTCACAGACTTGAATAGTATTAAGTGATTAAAGTTGACAGACAACCTGTGACCCAAATCCACAACAATCAGCATTAAGACTTTTCATAATCAGCATCAGGTAAACATGGGAAAATTTAGAATGATTATTTTTTTTCTGATAGCAAGCCTCCTGTTTGTAATTTACAGAATTATGAAGTGTCTGGTCTGATGCCAATCCCACACCAGGCTGTGTACTCGTCAGATCTTGAGAAACAGTGGCTTGAGAAAAAAGCCCTCAGTGGAAGGAATGCCAAAAGGAAATCACAGAAACTAAAGCTGAGGAGAGGTATGTTTAGATAAAGAAGGAGTGAGTGAGTGAGTGAGTATGTTTTTTCACTGCTTTTAGCAAAAAGCCAGCAATATCAAGACAGGGAACACTAGAAATGGGCTTCACATATTGTACCCATGTGGGGAATCAAACTTGGGCCTTCGGTATGATTAGCTAACGCTGTAACCACTAACCCAACACCCCCTCAGAGAAAGAAGTGCATGCGACCGACTAATGTGGTATTGGAAAGGAAAAATAAGAAGAATGCTGACAAAACCAATTGATATTTTCATGTAGAAAATGCTTTGTCATGCAAAATCATTCAATTTATTATTTTTTCTGATGTGACTGAAATGTGACCTTAACTTGTCTCTTTGAACCAAGAAAGAAAAGGTTTTGTTTGCACTAGATATATATCAAAGTAAATAGAAATCTGGCCATTAACCATTTCAAGCCTAGATTCCCAAGATTTCCATCATATAGTTTCCATTTAACTTTTCTTTACTAGAAACATGACTTGACTCACATGTGATACGTAGCACTTGTAATATTGTAATATTCATGAACATAATCTATGTCCAACTTTTTATTTTAGATTCAATCAAGCGTAAACCCTGCAGTTTTTTTCTGGAGGGTAATTGTCGACGATTTGACTGCAGGTTTTCCCATGACTTATCCAGCATCACTTGCAGATTTTGGGAAGAAGGCCTTTGTTTTAAAGGTTCACTCTGTCCATTTTACCATGGTTATCCAAGGTATGGTTCATGTGTTCTGATAAATGAATATAGCCCAGCCCTATAAACGTGATAAATGCTATACTTAGTTTAGTTAGCTTCTGTCGGTTATGAGTAATATTATCTTGAAAACTAAGTTAATCAGGTGTAGACACCATTGGTTTGTTTGTTGTTTAACGCTGCACTCAGCAATATTCCAGCTATATTATGGCAATTTGAGACCATTGTTCATATCCATCTAGTTCACAGCTGATTCATATTAGTTCTTTATGTAAAAAAAATTATTTGGGGAGAAAACAAGTATTCCCTCCAGATTATTTTGTTCAAGTAATAATGAATTCAGGCTTTACTCAAGTGTCACAGGGTCTTGAAACTAATTGTTTATGGAATTCAGACGTAAACATCAGGTATAAAAGCAACATCAGCATTCTCAGATGAGTTTTCATTTGGGACTACTGTTTTTCATGATATATCCATAGATTTTGAAAAGAGAAATGGTTACTGTGAATACAGTTATTCTGACAACTCAAATAAGCAGGCTAGTGACAGTGGCTTACCTTGAGTTACCCCCCTTTGGTTTCTTTCATTATTTTTATGGAAAAACAGAAAATGATAGCAGTGGGAATTCGGTTGTGTTTCTTATGAACATACCTACACATGCATATCAAACTTTATTTAGTGTAGATTTGAAAATTTGTAATAATCTCTGCTGTGAAAATAACCTTGGAACATATAAGAATTATATCCAGTAGGTAGTGTGGTGTACTGTTAGTTTTGAATGATGTGAATATATTTGCTGATATGAAGGCAAGAAACATGGGACAACGAGAACCAATGTTTTGCCCAAACACTATTGTTCAAGCAACTAGGAACATGTCATGAATATCCATCCTCAGTGGTTATGTCCTCATATTTATTACGTATATTTCTTCCTTTCTCTTCAAATTATTCAGAAAATCATCATAACCATAAACTTTGCTTCAAAAAAATCACCATTGTTAATTTTGTTGCAACTTAGGAATTGACAATGACATTTAAGCCCAATCATGTATGAACATTATCATTGTGGTCATTGTCCTTATATTTTGTAAAGTATTATTGGAGAGAATATACAAAAACGATTTGATCCTTTGCCTGTTTTGCAGTATGGGAAAGGTCTCCAAAATGATTCTAAAAATAAGTTTCTTTTGTTCTTAACAGTGATACTGAGATGGGCATGACCCATGATTGGAAGAGTGGAGATAGATATGAATTCAAGAAGGATGAGTTTCCAGAACTTGACAACTTTGGTAGAAGTGTGGTAAGGAATTAAATATTTTGTTGTCCCATGCATTGATTACATTTCTGTCTTTTTAAAAATATTTTCCACATCTACTCTACCCTTTTGAGTGTCATTATTAAGAAACTGTATAGGGAAAGTAGCAAACATGAATGTCAGCGGTTCCCAGTATTGCCTTAAACATGTTAAACCATTAAGACACAGGGTAACTGTACCAGAGACCAATTGGATGAGTTTAATTTCTTTTTGCACTTTTCAATCTAGCCATGAGGTTGTTTCATTGCCAGCCCAAACTAACTTGACTTATTTCTCATTACCTTAGAAATAAGACTGAAATTATCTGCATGTGTTATGGAAATAGAAGTAATAGACCTCTGGGGATTTCTTAATGTCCACAGACTAGTAATTAATTGTCCAACCTATGAATATTTCTGTGCTCTAATCTTGATCAGTGGTACAAACAATAGCAGAATTCTCTCTTAACTACCTACAGAAACCTGGTTGTGAGGTCATACTTATGATGCCTGTTTTAATCCTCAACACAAGAATGTTTAGTAAGCATTAATCATATGTATTTCAGCATAAAGAATTACACAGCCAAAAGATAAACCGGAAACGACAAGCACACAAAGAATTCCTGAAGAAAACTCTATCCAGTCGGAAAAAAAACAGACCTTCAAAGAAGTTGCAGACCAGAACAGTTCAAGCTAGCAGTTGTTGAAAACACACGAAAGCTTTTCTTTCCCAATGTTTAATTTTGATGATGTTACACAGATAATTGAGGTGCCTTGACAAGAAAACCTTTCCAAAATCATATTGAATTTATATTCATTGTTTAATTATTGCAACATAGCCTTTACCTACCCTTTTAATCCATTGTTCATCTTTCTCAGGATCTCTCCACCTTTCAAGCAAGTTATTATAACAGCTGTAGAACAGCTGATTTTGAGGTCAGTGTTTTCAGCATGCGTGGAGTTTTCTTTTTTAGAAGCTTGATGGATTTTCTTCAGAGCAATGATCATGATGCAGTTATTCTTACATACAACATCTTTAACTTATTAACTGAAACCGTAGCTATTTCATGCTGAAATTACTGTCACAATTTTCACCTTAATTTTGTCCAAAATGGAGCCAAATTGTGTTCGCAACAAAGAATCTACGTTCTACCAAATCTGCTGTGATCTTTGGACATGTTAGATGTTGGTTGTTCATACATATCTGATATATGTTTCTAAGGTGACCTTATGATTTGCAGTGCAACATTATTTATGTGCACAGATATACCACATTATACTATGGTTGTAGTGAAGAGTTTTGACCCTATTCGAGCAGTACTTTCAATTGACACAACAAGCATGTGAGGTACACACATTGATAAACCTTGTGTGCCTTCAGTTGTACAAAATATCATTTGCTACGCCAGTCCAAACTTTCATGTTTTCTCATTGCTCTGAAGAATACAATCTACAAGTCAGTTGCTATTCAGATCTGTAAAATCTAGTCAATAGACGAATCATTAGTCAAGAAAGCGTCAGAAGAACCTAATATATTGACATCAGGCCTTGACACAGAAAGCTGTGCATTACATTTCCTATCTGTTCTACAGGATTTTGATTTTGAAACTAATCAAAGAATCATTTCTGATGTAAAATATTGTTCTAATAACAACTTGTTTGAGACAATTAATCTGTTGTGGTTTGTTGCAGTCAATCAAGTTATTGTTCATTCATGGTATTTCCAGGTACGACATGTTAACAACGAAATTGTAGACATAGGGTAGGTTCAATCAATCTCTATTGTTATAAACAATAACATTGATATGCTGAAATTAATATTTTATATGATTCATTACTGTTCGAAGTGTAGATTGATGAAGTATTTTCTTTGTGGCACAGTAGTTTCAAAGAGCTGATGACTTACTTTGGAATTTATAAGTATATGGGTCAAATGAGATTCTGTTAGATGATCTCAAGCTTAAAATGTTAAACTCACACACAGGTAGGTCTGAGTATATCTTTGCAGTGCTTCGTGTAGCGGTTTATGTTAAAAACATGAAATATACATGTTTTGTTCATTGTTATTCAAGTTCGTTCACCATTCTTTTAAACTGTTGGATTCAGTCATATTCTGTATTCTGTCACATTTCGTCTGTGTTAACCAGTTTTTTATTTGTCAGCTTATTTTTGTTTTTGCTCCCAAATATTCACAACTTACAACTTTGCTTCTGTGTCAGTAGTAAGTCAATTACAGGCTGTAATCATAGTAAAACATGTAATTAAGTTAAATATATCGTACAAGGATTTCAAATAAGATTTACTGGAACTGGAACAATGGTTTAGTTTTACAAAATCCTCTAACTAACATTTGATATTTGTTAATCTATTTTTAATAGCTGTAGCCTTGCACCACTTAATCTTTTTTAATTTATTTTCTGTTATTTATTTGTTGAATTTTCAAAACTTTATGCTTGTTTATTTTGTTAGTAGGTTGCAATTTTAATTCCCAAGGGGATGAGTAGACATCTAGTTTAGAAGAGAGGATTATTATTTCTCCCTAAGCATCAATGTGGTTACTGATAAGGAGGTATGAGGACAAGTAAAGAATATTATGTTATGTTGTTAAGTGTAACTCTAACTGAAGTTTGATCAATCTTGCAGTTGTTTTGCAGTGTGCTAAGTTCAGCAAATGTTTTGGCAAATGTACAGAAAAGAAAATGTAACTGTCCCATGATCTTGACAGATTGTTTTCAAACATACATCATCTGATATAAAACAAAATCTGTAAAACTTCTTACAATAATTCGGTCCTCATGACAAAGAAAGGATTATATCTTGTCAGTATGTTTCACCATTTTCAATAAAGAGCACAGAAACTAAACATTGCTTTAGCAATAGGTTTCTGTCAGTTGCAAAGATCTGCATGCAGGTTGCTGCATGAGATCGCAACTAAGTCCGGAATATTTGACTGACTGATGGTAACCTGGAGTACACAAGTAAGGAGCACATGCTAACATTTGTTTTGATTTCTTTTTGTTGCAAGTTTCATTATCTTTCACTTATTTAGGGCAGCTTATAGATTTTTCCTCAAATATTAAAACCCACCGTCGTGCAATTGTTTGTCAATATCAAATTTCATTACACATTATTGCTTAATCCTATTTATTTTGTGTAGAAAATATAAAATGGGATTTCTCACACATGCACAGTTTATTGGGTAACTCTTCCTGCTTAAAATGTGGCTGAAATTAATGACATAACAATTTGATGTTGCCTGTGGAAAACTAATGCTGATTTGAAGGCATTTCTATAAGTTATTGGTGCATACAAGTCTTGATGAGACATATCTATCAGTGTCTATAACCAGGCAGCTTGAATGCATGTTTTAACATTCGTTAGAGATTAAACTTTACTTGATAAATCTAATGAAAATTGAAATAGTTCAACATGGCTTTCACTTATTTGTCATTGATTCATGTAATAACCAATTCTCAGAATGCTTCCTAGGTTATTAATGATTTAGTTAAGCATTTGTGTAATACCCACTGAAGGGTATATTGTGTGGAATATTGTGTGCTATTACGTCCTTCACCACACCATATGAAACCATTATGCGTCATCCAACGCCAGTACAGTGAGTATCATGCTTGTCACTTGTGTATATATAATACAGATGTATATTTGAAGTGGTCATAATAAGGTGAATGAAAAACTTGTCCTGATGATAGTGTGATTGATGTTAGTTACCATGGTTACATATGATTAGAATGTGTCTTGTATGAATGTTAATTTATTCCTCTTAAACTTAATATCTCTCATTTCAAGTTTTAATAATTCATGATCATTACACCATATTTCATATATTGCTAAGATTACTAATTCTAAATCACCAACAGCATGATGTATATGTTGAGTCGTGTTTGTTTATGATATTCGTCAACTATTCTCAGTCTATGTTATGGTAGTGTTGACCTGTTAAGTGTTTAAGTCAAAACCTATTCAGGCAGGACATTTAATTTTGACATGAATCATATCTTCATTCTTGTGCGTCATTAAACTTATTCATTCCAGGAACATAAATCCCTTGTGTGAGAAGTAGATAGAGCACACTTTTTTATTACCTGTTCACAAATTCATGTTTCTGTTACTTTACAGGTCAGTTATTCATCTCCATTACTATTTCAATTTCAATTCTAAGAAACTTTGTATGCAAGTTCAGTCGTCAATTCATATCACCATTTTGTTCTGTAATGGAAGATGACTATGATGACGTCTTCTTCCACTTGTGTGTAACAGACTTGTTGAATTGTTAAAATTGTTAAACCAAATATTGATGAATACTCTGCTGATACTTGTTAATGTTACCATGGTTACAGAAGTTGTTTAAGGTGTACTTATTCAGAGTGTACAAATTGTTTTTGTACAAGGTATCACATAATGTTTGTCTTATTTGAGATAGAGTACCCAGGTATTACCAGAAATAATATTCAGTGTTCCTTACTTGGATTATGCTCTTTGATGATGGATGTGTTTACAAAATGGAAGTTTTACATGATGTAGTACTGTCTACCTTTGGTATTCAAACATCAAACTGGATAAGCATTATTCTATGACAGGGGTTGGGCCTAGTCGTTAAAATGTTTGCTCGCCATCCCAAAGACCCAGATTCGATTCTCCACACCAGTACAAAGTGTGAAGCCCATTTCTGGTGTCACCCACTGTGAAATTGCTGGAATATGGTTAAAAGTGTCTCAAAACAATACTTACTCTCTCACTCACTCACTCACTCACTCACTCACTCACTCACTCACTATATGGGGGCAAGTTTTCCCAGTGGCCGAAGGTGATGCAGAGTTATATCCCTAAGTGATGCCAGAATTCCCAGAATTGTCCTGATAATGAACCTCGGTTTGTCCGTTTCAAAGTGGCTATCATCCATGACTTGGGTGGTCATGACCAACTGTCCTGACATACTATGATATAAATGAATTAATGTTCAGTATGTTCAAATCAAGTTAAGGCCATATCACTAGTGTACTCAATCCAGTCCAGATGAGTATTATTACCATAACATAGTTGGGTGTTTCATACTGTGAATAACAAGGTCAGAAACAGGATAATACCTTTGATGAACATCATATACCATACGTTTATTTTTTTGTTAATGGAGGCTGGCAATGCGAGTTTTCTGGTCTTTCTTGCTCACACAAAACAGTGTGTTGTGAGACACATATATCTGCATTCTAATTCACCCAGGCATTCTTGTCACTGGTAAAAATGTAGGTTTACTTTCGTAGATTGAAGTGGCCAGTATCTTCTTGGCTTACAGCCCACGCGCCTTTTGAAACTGTCACTAGGCACAAGCTAGTTGGCTAGCATTAAACGTAAGGCTGTTTAGTATAATTAAGGATAATCAGGACATGGCCATTATACATTCCCAACTGTGGGTGGTGAACAGGGGCACACATCCAAACTTGGATGTACAAGTACACCAACATAGTTTTCAACAAATATTGCATTCAAATGGTATCAAGAGTACAAATAAAGATTTTGAAGAATGATAAACCAGCAGTGTTGCTGGATGTGAATGTTGGGGTGTGTAGATGCACTGTCAGATCAGTTTGACAGATATGACATTCTGAATACCATAGTCATTAATTATGATAATTGGTATCATTTTACATCTTACGATATGAAGTCAATTGTTACATGACCCATGTCATGCTGTTAAATATGCACAAAGTGAATAAAATGTAGGTGTTTGCTTAACTTACCACTGTCAGTATAAGTAAATTGTAACCACCTAATAGATACATGACTACTTAGTTTGCTTCTAAAACTGTAGCATTACTTCCACATTAAGCTGACGCGTCGTGATGCCACTGTAATACTGTTTAAATCAGCGATGAAGCCAGCTTAGCCACTCATTCTATAACTGCAGCATGTGCTTTTGTGAAAGGCAAATGGCTAGTTACACATGTATCACTGTTACATTAAATGAACAATGATGACATGAAGCCATGCAGTTTTGAAAACTTTTCATAAAAGTTATGGATGGTGATTCTTGAATTAATAGGTAAAAGCAAGGACCTAGATTACATTACATAATTTAGGTCTGTGGTATTTGTTTCTCCCCCAACTGATTCAGGGTGAACTACATGCATAGCAAAGGAATTTCCTTCCTCATCTTGCTTACTGTCAAGGTATTTCGTTGCATGTAGAAACTACAGAGACCCAGAGAACATACTATGGCAAAGCTTGAACATTTTGTGAAAGGTTTGTTTAATGGGACTGGATCAGTAAAGGTTTAATACAAACTGACGCACTACTCGATTGCAAGTAGTGTATTAAACAGATGATGCTAGCTACTGTATTTGTTTTGTGGCCTAGTTTGCAGATAATACAATGTTTCTGCTTAACATTTATTGCACTGTACTAAATGTCAATTGATTGTCAAGGATTTAGTTCTTGTAGAGAATGAAGAGATTGTGATATGTATGAAAATTGTATTTAAGCAAGAATGTCTGTTGTGTTGTATTTGCCCATGTGAAAGGTCTGGTTTAAGTGTTTGCTCTGATGCATATGTTAAGAAATGTGAGAAAACAATATGCGGTATTTCAATGTGAACAACTGCACCTTACATCTGTACCACTACTACATATATTTATTTGAAAAAGTTCATGTCTTCATGTTGTGACACCTATTGTTTATGTTACTATAACATTCATTTTGTGAATTTGTTTTAGATTCAAATCAAGTAATTTTGTAACTGAAGTAATCTATGCACAGTGAAATCCTTTGAAGTTCAAATGTTTGTCTCACAAAAATATGACTTACCTCTAACTATGAGTACAGTTTGAGAGCTATGTTATTGCCTTTGACAGCACTGTTATTTGTCAAACTGGGGTGTGATGCCAAATTTCATGATCATCAGGTTAAAATCTCCAATAGTCCCAAGTCAGTTAGAGAAGGTTAGCCATGGTTGCTAAATTTACCTTTTCTTTTAAGGAGCTCTTTAACAGAATTTGCACTTCATTGCTACCACAGAAATGTGCAGGGCAAAGGCTTCAATTATCAGCAAGCATGTCCTAGCAAGATTCAATATTATGGTACAAATGACGATCAGGAAGTGAATAATTTGAAGTCAAAGAGTTCCCTTATGTCAGTTGTAAGTCATTATTTGGTCATGTTTTATCCCTATTGTTCATAAGACAACTTGTGTCTGTATATCACTTCTTTAGGGTGTGCAGTGGCAATTTTCAGTGTTCGCAAATTTCTGCGCCTTTTGTCTGCAGATTGGCAAGTTGAAATTTTAAATGTTTTCCTTTCTGGGTTGAACATTTTAAGATCCAACTTGTTTTAAGAAGCAAATGATAATTAATGTTGCAATGGTGTGAATGTTGTTTTATGAGTTTTGACATTATTGTTGCTTTTCAATTGTTTTGGATTATTGTTTTTATTTATTTGAATAAAATTGCCAAAAAACATTAACAGTGACATCATGAAGCAGTCATGTTTAGCCATCTGGGAATATTTCTGAAGTATAAAAATCATTAAAACTACAAGTAAGAAATTCCAGATAGTAGACATCTGGGCAATGTTCAGTAGATCAAATTCTTTATTCAAATCTTACTTTGCACATTTCCTTTTTAGAATATATGACTGGTTCATATTAAAAATGGCCTTATGGGCATGATTCCAAACTGTTAAAAAATCTGATATTAAACAGGTACTTTCTTCAAAGCTGATTCAGAACCAAGAATGTTCATGTATGGCTGGTTCATAAAACAACATAAACATGATACCATGTGTATTTTGTCACATTACTATATTCACACTTGTCAAGTATTATGTTGACCTGTTGAATTACTTCAGGTCTCATGTCCATTTTAACACCAGCAGCATGGACAAATCGAGTCACAGTTGTAGTAAACTTTGGACTTGAAACTTGGTCCTCATGGACCCAGCGGATGTGTGAGGAGTTTAAAGTACACCTCCCTGTACATCATTGTATAAAGAATATTCATGCTCATTATACAAGTGTTGCATGGAGTTGATGATGAGCATGTATTGGAAGCAGTTCGAGTTTACCATCACAAGTTGGCACATTGGCTTTCCGGGTGGTTTGTGTGGTGTGTCCTCATACTAATGTTTAGTTTCTATGCATTGTATTGAGGTGTAAATCAAACCACGGGCAGGGGATAGCTGCTTCCTGCAGGCATACGTAATGTACATCCCCTGCATCTACCTGCAAAAATAAAGTTGGTAGAAATGAAGTTCTGTCTTTGTTGTCTGTGTTTCTAGTGTCAAGTCCTCATGTCAAGAGAGTGCGGCCAATTGACATGCCTGGCAGGTTTGTTTCAAGTGTTTTAAAACCCACTCAGTTTGTTTGCTTACTGTTATGATACGTATCTAACAGTTACTGGTTACTCTAATGCACAATGCATCACAACCTTTAGACCAATGACTGGTATCCCAGTAGTCTTATGTGCAGAGTTGCGTCCCTTGGGATGCCATGATTGAGGTTCGAATTTAAAATACGCCATGATGTTGTTTATTGGTTTGTCAGCACCATGTCAGTGCTCCACCCTGGGCTTTGTTGAAGTGGTGAACATCTGACACATCAGTGATTTACGTGGGTCTATAAATTTTCATGGTTTATTCCATGCATGGTTACTCTCAGTAACTGTTCCGCGTCCCAAGGCAAGAGGTTCCAGGCTGGAACTATATTGATGTCACTGTGTATATTCAGAATCAAGCCCTTTATAGATGGGAATTAAGATGATTGAAGAAAACAAAGCCTTGAACTTGAGTCAAATAGATATGTAACATACAATCAACAAACTTGAACCATTCAGCCGTCTCTGCGTTCTAGATGACGCACAGTGTAAATTATTTGCACCCATTCATTCTCAATTGGTGTGCGTACATTTTGAAGAAACCATGATTCTTGCTTTGGTCAAACAATTAGATGAAACGCCATGATATGACTGGAATACTGTTCAAAGCGGCGTTATCGGTGTTATGTCATTGTACCGCGACAGCGAGGTGTGTTCACAATATTAACCACTTTTTTAACATAACATGGCTGGAATATTCCTCACTGCTGCATTAAACAATAAAGAAACAGTGTCTTGAACACTATTAGACGCTGTTCACTACTGCTGAGGACATTTACCTACTCACTAGAAGAAAAAAATAACGTAGACCATTTATAGTTTGCCCGATTTATTTCAATGCAACTACCAACAGAATCTTGACTAGCTATGCAGCCATTTCAAGTTCATACGATGGTCACATGGAACCTTGTGCTCTTGTCAGCGCCTGAAAAGAATACAAAAACATTCAATGTTGTTAGTGTTCCCATTTGTATAGGAAAAAAACTTACGTATACCGTCACGAAGACCTATTAATATAGATATCCTCACGTCCTGACTCCTCCTTGTGATATGGCTGGAACCTTACAACGACCGCCGTTCAACGAAGGGTACTCTGGAGCATGTCCTGCCCGACAGGTAATGCCCCTCATTGGTATGTGTTACGACAAAAGAATTCTGCGACCATACCAGCCCAGGTAATGTGGCACTCACCTCTTTCGGCTTCTTGGACGATCTTAGAATATGGGAAATCCAAAGCGGCGGAATGGAAGACCAAAGATCGGGTACCGGAAAGGTATGCCAAAACGAGCACCAAAGAGAGGAAACCTGCCAAGGAAGGGATTGCCAAGAAGGCCAATATGACCAAAAGTTGCTGTTGTCATAGCAACGACGGCAATAAGCACGAGCAGTACGAGCAGTGCCTTCATCGTGAGGGGTACCTGTCGGACAAAACATAACAATAAAGTGTTCACAGTATTGATAATACACTATGACAGGGTATTGTATGTATATTTTATGAGTGGTTTGAGTTACGTAGTAACATTAACCACTTTGGTGAAGCCCACGAGCTTGGGTTTCATGCTGACAGACTAAGCAGAAAAAGGGGAGAATCAGGGATCAGTAAATCTCTTGAGCTAAGGGAGGCAACTCCCTAAGGCGAGTCCCTTTTAGGCACTGATCCATGATGCCACCATGGTATCGACCTGTTGATAAATGCGGAGGAAAACACGATGATTGGAGCTTGGAGTTTAACTGCACCGCTTAAAATTAGAATATAATATAAGGACAAGAAGTTAACATACAATATTTAGATGTCTGGGGACGGGGGCAATTTACGATAATTTCAGTTGTATCCGCTATGTCAGTTTATTGTGGGAGGAAAGTCAAAATTGAAGCTGGTCAAACATTTACGGCTTTGACTAAAGCACGGTTATTGGGGCAAGCCTGGTAATCGAACCAACCAACAGGGTATATGGGCTAATAGCGCTCTGTGACGCTTGAAACTATTAAACCACCCGTACGCTCTTTAGATGCGTAATGCACGAGTTCTCGTGAGTGAGTGAGTTGGGCTTATCGCCGCTTTTAACAGTATTCCAGTTATATCACGGCGTGTTAGCTTAATGTGGGAGGAAAGCCCAAAGTGATGCAGGTCTCAGACGTTTACCACTTCGGTGAAACCCACGGGCACGGGTATGGTGCTGACAAACCTAGAAACATAATCGGGGCGAACCGGGATTCGATCACACAATCATAGGTTTCTGGCGTGCCCAAGGGACGCAACTCTGCACAGCGAGTCAGCTCGGCATAAGGTTACATTCATAAACATGATTTGTATCATGCATTATTGCTTATTTTACTCCTGCCTCTTAAATAATTCTTGAATTTTGACAAAAAGTAACTAAATGAAAACTTAAAGATTTAAAAAAGAGACTCACTCACCACAGAGACAAGCTGAAGTCAAAAGACTGGGCGATCAAAATGATCATGTTGGCACCATTTATACTGTTTTTTCTTGACCTACAAATCACGTTTCATTGAAGTCGCCGCTGACATCCCCCCTCAGCCCCTCCGAACAGGACATCTCCCCCACCCACCCTTGCTAATCCCACCCCAATCATGTCGTACTTCTTCTCAAGGGCTCGGAGGGACGCGCCAGTCACAGTTCAGTCTTGTGTCATCCATCATTTTTTGGTAATCAGGAAGGTGTTTCATAACATTTAAAAAATATATCGATATACTATTGAATACGAAAAAAATACGTTTGTCAAGTGCTGGAGAATGTAGTGTTAACTGCACCATGCGTTGTTCGTCATGCACGAGGTGCGTGTGTGATTCCGAACTATGCTGTTAGGTGATTGGAGTTTCTTTTTTACTAAATCACTGTTCAATTTTTCAATCATATTTTTTTTAAAAGTAACATTTCATCAGCCAGTTGTAGTTTGTGTATATACTGAGTGAGTGATTGGCGGTCGTTTTGAACTTTAATTCAGTCACATCCCTGCCTTTTGTCATGACGATAAAGGAAAGCCCAGAGTTTCGAATGTCGCATCCTTGATAATCAAGTGTATTATATCGCAATTCTATCAAGATAAATACCCATGATGTATTCACCGTCATAGCGACTTTTTTTTACAGCGATTTCAGTGTCACGACGCTAAAGAATGAGTGAGTGAGTAAGTTGGGTTTAACGCCGCTTTTGACAGTATTCCAGTTATATCGCGGCGTGTCAGCTTAATGTGGGAGGAAAGCCCGAAGTGAAGCAGGTCTCAGACGTTTACCACTTCGGTGAAACCCACGAGCACGGGTATGGAGCTGACAAACCTAATCGGGGCGAACCGGGATTCGAACCCACAATCATAGGTTTCTGGCATGTCCAAGGGACGCAACTCTGCACAGCGAATCGCGGCGCCTCAGACGACTGGGTCACCCGTGCCCCGACGCGAAAGAATGTAGTACCCATGCCAGAGCCCTGAAGATCCGGGATAGAATAGGTCTTCAGCAACCCATGCTTGCCGTAAGAGGCGACTAACGAGGTCGGGTGGCCAGACTCGCTGACATGGTTGATGCATGTCATCGTATCCCAGTTGCGTGGATCGATGTTCATGATATCAATCACTGGATTGTCTGGTCCAGACTCGATTATGTACACAGCGCTGTCATATAGCTGGAATATTGCTGAGTGCAACAACAACAAACAAACAAACAACAACCTATCCATTCCAATTTAAGCCCATGCAGAACCGAAGCTAGAACAGAGGCGATAAGACAAGAAGCTTTGGTGTAGAAATATATTGGTGGCAAATCAGCGATTCAAAATGACGACCGGCGGATCCTTGGTAGCTAAGGGACGCAACTCTTTTACGCGAGTTGCCGCTTCTTGGTCACAAGGTCACCAGTGTTACCCACTTGAGGTTTATGTGAACGACCGGAGGGCAGAGAAAACGGTGTCAGACTCTCTGTCTGCCCACGATGTCACTACCTCCTGCCCAAAGGTGACATATACGTGTCGTTACGAAATGAAATTTCTGCCTTGTGGGAAAATACCATTCGTGACCATTCTCCGCCTCTTTCCGTAAATTTACACGAGTGGTCACGCCCGAACCTTGTAACAGTGGCGCATAACTAGTTTACTCGACCCTAAGCAATCAGAACTGATATTTGACGAGGCTGTGATTGAGTGAATAAAGGACGCATTCTGCAGCAATGTGATGGTGGTGAGGTGAAATGGGGTTAAGCGTCGCGTTCAAGATTATTGCACTTATATAGCGACGTGCATGCACGTGTGTGTGTGGCTGCTTGTACTAGTCTGGACTGATGCCGATTTATAGTGCTAGCACACTGAGATACCATGCGGCAGTTTAACATGAATACCCCACGCGGACACAGTATACTGACTCCGAGGCGACCAGTCCTTGTTTTAGCCCCTTAATGCCGAGCTCAGACAGGGTAACAATCAGTACCATCTTTAAACGTCTTTTAGTATGACGCGGTCGGGGATCGAACCCCGGACCTTCCGCTCTCCGAGCGGACGCTCAACTACTAGACCACGGAGGCGGTCTAGCAATGTGATGGCAAACTTGCAAGTAATTAGAACTAAGGGACTCCTCATTTATCTATTTATTTTTTTCTATTTATTACCCCCCGCCACGAAGTGGAAGGGGGGTATATAGGAATGGGTGCCGTCCGTCAGTTCTTCCGTCCTTCCATCCGTCCGTCCGGCACGTTTCGTTTCGTTTCCGGAGCAGAACTCAAAAAACACGAGAGATATCTTAACCAAACTTGGCACATAGATTGGTCTCGTGGTGAACTGGTGCCTTTTGATAGTTTGGGATTTTTGCAAAAAATATTTTTCGAGTTTCCCTGGCAACGACTTTTACTTAGGCTAAAAATGGCGGAAGTGCTCGTTTCCGGAGCAGATGTTGAAAACCGTACAATATTTCTTCACCAAACTTGGCACATTATATAGGTCTAGTGAAAAACTGGAGTTTCCCTGGCAACGACTTTGACTTAGACTGAAAATCAATGTGAGTGTCTACTCTAAATGGAATATACATGTGTTATTGTTCTTCAGCAACCCATGCTTGTCGTAAAAGGCGACAATGATTGTCGTAAGAGGCGACGAACGGGATCGGGTGGTCAGGCTCGTTAAATTGGTTGAGGATCGATGCTCATGACGTCAATCACTGGATTGCCTGGTCCAGACTCATCAAAAATATCGAAATGCCGAGGGGTGTAGTCATATGTGTTTTTTTGTCATGTTCCAGATTTTGTCTACTTATATAGTGATGTGTTTGCACGTGTGTGTGCTTATTTTAGTCCGATTCGATTAACATAGATACCTCACACATACTGACTCATATTGACTCCGAACTGAACAGTCCAAGTTTTATCTCCTTAATGCTGAGCGCTGACAACAAGCACCTTCTTTTAACGTCTTTAGGTATGACCCGGAAAGGCGATCGAACTACCGACCTTCCTCTCCGGTAACGCCGGGGGCCCGGGCTCGATTGCCCACATGGTGCCATGTATGAAACCCATTTCTGATGCCGCCGCTTTGATATTGCAGGAATGTTGGTAAATGCATCATAACTCCTCACTTATTTACTCTTAATGAGAGATGCGGTCGGGTAGCCTAGTGGTTAAAGCGTTCGCTCGTCACGCCGAAGACCCGGGTTCGATTCCCGACATGGGTACAATGTGTGAAGCCCATTTCTGGTGTCCCCCGCCGCGATATTGCTGGAATATTGCTAAAAGCGGCGTAAAACCATGCTCTCTCACTCACTCACTGTTAATGAGAAAACGCTACAGCGGGCACAGTATGGCGCTACTGATATATGTTCGGAGTGGTTCTATGATCATGCATGAAGTGGTTGTTGGGGGAGTTAAGTTTATAATAATGGTGGTGGTGCTAAGGTCGTTTTGTGCAACAGACCCTGTACTCCATCTGTCTCAATGACAAGACAGTATCATGACATAGTAAACGTATGCAGTACTACAGGTGTTCGCGAGCGTTAACCAAAGCTGGTAAAGGAAGCCATCGATCGATACCAAAAGGCTTGAAGACGTTAAATAAAACGTGATCTAAATACGTCACAATGGGAGTATACCTTTCAGCTCACGACAAGGGCGGTGGGGTAGTCAAGTGGTTAAAGCGTTCGCTCGACACGCCAAAGTCCCAAGTTCGATTCCCAACATGAGTACAACGTATAAGGCACATTTCTGGTGTTCCCCGCAGTGATATTGCTGGGATATGCTAAAAACGGCGAAAACCCAAACTCATTTACCTCACAACACAAGTGTTATATAAGTACCAGATAGGTACTCAATGCCAGAGAATACGCAGTCTCGATTATTTGCAGAAACAGATTCCTTTAGGTGTGAAAGGTAAAACTGTGATGAAAATAAAAACATCAAATAACACTTTAATGTAAGTCTCCCTGTAGGTAAGCAGCGCATGAGATGAACGATCAATGGCTACCTTTTATCGTGTCTTTTCGCATACAA